AATACTGTTTTTGTTTTCAGGCTTTTGAAAATTGAGATGTGCATTAAATTAAATGGTAAATTAGAATTGAGTAAAAATGATACATCCAATCCCGGGACTTTGGACTCAAACAATGATAGATCTGGGTTGTTGTAGGTTTTTTCCGGCTATAGGCATTCTAGAGGCATTTCTCCTGACGTTTCGCCTGCATCTATGGCAAGCATCCTCAGAGGTAGTGAGGTCTGTTGGAACTAGGAAAAAGGGTTTATATATCTGTGGAATGACCAGGGTGGGACAAAGGACTCTTGTCTGCTGGAGCTAGGTGTGAATGTTTCAACTGACCACCTTGATTAGCATTTGATGGCCTGTTTAGCTGGCATCACGCCACCTAACATCCGCTGGGAAGTAGCTTACTTACTTACTTACATAGGCGATCCCTTACAGAGGTGAATGGTGTCTTCTATTGATGTGACAATACGGATGGCGCAGCTATGCACTGGTGAAAAGGCACACTTTGGATGCACACTGGGCACTTGTGCAAATGTGGAACAGTGAGCTCTCCCTCGTGCAACAGAGTCCTTTGCACAACAGTCACTCCAGCACCAAATGGATGCCTGTCTATTTCAATGTCATGCAGCCCCATTTGCAAAACTGCTTCATACAATTTTGCATGCACTGAAGTCTATCCATCTGTCTTTCACAAAGTGTGTATGTTTGTCTGTTTGCTTGCACCACAAAGGCTGTGGCTAGGTGAAGTGGACCTCTGTGATATCGCTAGGAAATAAATGCAATATGGGTTGTTGTAGTTTTTTCGGGCTATATGGCCATGGTCTAGAGGCATTCTCTCCTGACGTTTCGCCTGCATCTATGGCAAGCATCCTCAGAGGTAGTGAGGTCTGTTGGAACTAGGAAAAAGGGTTTATATATCTGTGGAATGACCAGGGTGGGACAAAGGACTCTTGTCTGCTGGAGCTAGGTGTGAATGTTTCAACTGACCACCTTGATTAGCATATAATGGTCTGACAGTGCCTGGAGCAAACTTTTGTTGAGAGGTGATTAGATGTCCTTGTTTGTTTCCTCTCTGTTGTTGTGCTGTTGTAATTTTAGAGTTTTTTAATACTGGTAGCCAGATTTTGTTCATTTTCATGGTTTCCTCCTTTCTGTTGAAATTGTCCACATGCTTGTGGATTTCAATGGCTTCTCTGTGTAGTCTGACATGGTGGTTGTGTAGTGGTCCAGCATTTCTGTGTTCTCAAATAATATGCTGTGTCCAGTTGGTTCATCAGGTGCTTCTGCTATGGCTGACTTCTCTGGATGAAGTAGTCTGCAGTGCCTTTCATGTTCCTTGATTCGTGTTTGGGCAATGCTGCGTTTGGTGGTCCCTATGTAGACTTGTCCACAGCTGCATGGTATACGGTAGACTCCTGCAGAGGTGAGAGGATCCCTCTTGTCCTTTGCTGAATGTAGCATTTGTTGGATTTTCTTGGTGGGCCTGTAGATAGTTTGTATGTTGTATTTCCTCATCAGCTTCCCTGGAATAAATTATTATTATTATTATTATTATTATTATTATTATTATTATTAAAGTGGTCCCAGTTTGCCAATACGGATTATTTTGGGCTACAATTCCCAGAATCCCCCTTTCTCCATGGCTACCATACTTAAGAGCAGATATTATTATTATTATTAATAATAATAATTAATAATAATAATATATTCGTATCCTGCCTTTTATTGTTGCAGTTGAGACACAAATGTGTTGGCACAAGTTGGCAAAGAATGGCATCTTTTCTAACTTGATGTTGGATGTAACTTCAATTACTGGAAGAATTTCATAGGAAAAGACCTCATGGGCCATCTAGTCCAACCCCCTGCCAAGAAGCAAGAGAATTTCATTTAAAGCACCCCTGACAGATGGCCATCCAGCCTCTGATTAAAAGCCTCCACCACACTTTTGAGAGAGGAATGGTCAGAAAATAATGTGGGGGATTCTTATGGCAAAACACCCCTCTGACTATGTGTTTCGTCCCAACAGCAAAGCTAGACTTTCCAAACTCCGCCAGATTCCTTAACATTTCCTAACCTTTGACCCTGTGGATTTTGTAGGGTTTTCTTTGGCAAGGAAAGAAAACTTCATTGCAGAGTTATTGCTCATGTTCTTTGTTGGCCAGCATTTCAACTGCAGCAAATATATGAGTCCTCTGTAGTAAGTACATGGGCGCCTTAACAAAAGCCAGCAAATCATTTGTTTCAAAGCCAGCCAGGTTGGACAGGCAAAATGCCATTGGGTGGGAAGGACTAATTTTCCAGCTGGAAGAGCCCTTTCCTGGAAGTTTGCAGCAGTTTGCAAACAGAAGTGGTCCAAAGATAGAGAACTGCTGCTATCTAGCGGTTGAATTCAAGAGCACACCAAATATGTAACACAATGTATTGTCGAAGGCTTTCATGGCTGGAATCACTAGGTTCTTGTGGGTTTTTTTGGGCTATAGCCATGTTCTAGAGGCATTTCTCCTGACGTTTCGCCTGCATCTATGGCAAGCATCCTCAGAGGTAGTGAGGTCTGTTGGAATTAGGACAATTTATATATCTGTGGAATGGCTGGGGTGGGGCAAAGAGCTCTTCTCTGCTGGAGCTAGGTGTGAATTTTCAACTGACTACCTTCATTAGCATTTGAAGGCCTGGCTGAGCCTGGGAAAATCTTTTGTTGAGAGGTGTTAAGATGTGCCTGGTTGTTTCCTCTCTGCTGTTTTGCTGTTGTAATTTTAGAGTTTTTTAATACTGGTAGCCAGATTTTGTTCATTTTCATGGTCTCTTCCTTTCTGTCTTGGGCATGAGAGAGAGGACCTTATCGGTGGTGGCCCCCTGGCTCTGGAACTCCCTTCTCAGGGAGATTAGACTAGCACCCACCCTATCCACCTTCCACAAAGATCTAAAGACGTGGATGTTTCACTGTGCTTTTGACTATACAACTCCCCAGATAGCTTGGCTCAAACTAGGAACCAAAATCTTCTCATCACACTTTACTATTGATCTGTAGCCAAAGTTATAATGCTCTATCTTATACTGCCCTCTATCTCTACTGCTGCAATATGACCGATGCATTTTATCCACCAGCCCTATCCTCACAATAGTGTTTGCACCAGTCCGCCCACCCCATGCCCAGAAACTGATTGTTATCGCATAACTTATTGGTTATTGGTTTGATGTTTTGCTTTTATATTTTGGTAACACAATGTTTGTTCCTGGGTTATATATAAATGCCATTTCTTAATTGGTTCTATCATTAAAACATGGAGAAAGTTTATCAAACTGCAAAAACTTTGTTTTCGCGGGACAGACATCCTGAAGTACATTTTGCTCTAGTTTTCCAATGAATATCTCATCGAATCTCAACCTAGTTTGTGTCAGCCACAAAAAACAAGTTTCTGGAGTAGAACAACTACTTCCAAAGTAAGTACCGCACAATTAAATAGGAAATAACATTTTCAAACCAGGGACAGAAAAGTTTTCAATTTTTGTTCACCATGCAACCAGAGAGCCCCGTGAACCCAACCAACAATATATCCTGACTAAAGTTGGCACACATATTCAACATGGCCAACTTTAAATGTTGGTTTGTTGTTGTTGTTGTTGTTGTTGTTTTGTCGTGTCAGGAGCGACTTGAGAAACTGCAAGTCACTTCTGGTGTGAGAAAATTGGCCGTCTGCAAGGACATTGCCCAGGGGACGCCCTGATGTTTTGATATTTTTATCATCCTTGTGGGAGGCTTCTCTCATGTCCCCGCATGAGGAGCTGGAGCTGATAGAGGGAGCTCACCCACCTCTCCCCGGATTTGAACTTGTCAGTTTTCAGTCCTGCCGGCACAGGGGTTTAACCCACTGCACCACTGGTAGTGAGGTTTGAAGGTAACTGATCTTGAATGTTGGGGATTGTGGCTTGATAATTCTGTCAAACTAATAAATTCCAGTTCCGACAATGTGGTGTTGCTTTTGGGGGGGGGGGGGGCACAAGGCTTTATGCCATTGAGAAAGCAGTGTGAAGATGGTCTTCTAAGATGGGACTCAGGAGGCCAGCTATCTTCCCATGAAGATCTTAAGTTGTGAGACCAAACAAGGCTAAACCTCAATATGCATGGATGCGTGCTTCATGTCGAAGCAGCAGTGACTCCCGAAGGCCATCCATTCCAACACACTTCTGTCAGGAAGGACACCATCCAAACCCTCCTGACATGGTGCAAAGGAAGAGCAGACAAACCGATAGGTAGAGAAAAAGAGAGAGAGGTTTGCAGGAAGGTGCATATGAAAGCTGACTGGCACAACCTGGGGATCACAACCAGACACAGTGAAGACATCTGCCCTTGCGCTATGCTACTCTGCTGCTGAGTATGCATGCCCAGTGTGGAACACATATCACCACGCTAAAACAGTGGATGTGGCTCTTAATGAGACATGCCGCATTATCACGGGGTGTCTGCGCCCTACACCACTGGAGAAATTACACTGTCTAGCCGGTATTGCACATCCGCTGGGAAGTAGCAGCCAATGTGAAAGGACCAAGACAGAGACATCTCCAGCTCATCCCTGTTTGGGTATCAGCCAGCACGTCAATGACTTAAATCAAGAAATAGTTTTCTAAGATCTACAGAGACACTCACTGGAACACCTCAGCAAGCGAGAGTCCAAAAGTGGCAGGCTCAAACCCAGAATCTCAATCAATGGCTGGTATCAAATGAGAGACTTCCTCTTGGGCACACAGAAAACTGGGCGACTTGGAAGACACTGAACAGACTGCGCTCTGGCACCACAAGATGCAGAGCCAACCTTGAGAGATGAGCCCACAAAGTGGAATCCACGACATGCGAGTGCGGAGAAGAGCAAACCACTGACCACCTGCTGCAATGCAACCTGAGCCCTGCCACATGCACAATGGAGGACCTTCTTGCAGCAACACCAGAGGCACTCCAAGTGGCCAGCTACTGGTCAAAGGACATTTAATCAGCTACCAAGTTTGCAAACTTTGTGTTTTGTTTGTTTTATGCAATACAACTGTTTTGGTTCGCTCCTGACACAATAAATAAGGTAGGTGCTATATTTGGGCTGTTATCTTATCGCATTTGCAAATTTTGCTGGAAATTGGGTCCAAAACCAGCCCGAGTCCATGGACTTGAATCAGTTTCATAACTCGAACTCCATAGACACAAAGTAGGGGGTCCTTTCCATCCATTGCATGAAAGAAAGGGCTAAGGAGTCCTTGCCTCCATCCTTCTGCTCCGAGGATGGAGAAGTCTTTCCACTCTGCTCTCCAGACCAAAGAAGACAAACAGCTCGATCGGGAGGCTGGAACAGGGCTGTCTCCCCAACAAATGGGGCCACCTTAGGGCAGCGTGACCATCCGACTTGTGCTGCGTGTGGCGGGGAAGCGGCGTTTGCCCCTCAGTCCAGAGAAGCGTTCGTTTAACATCAAGCTGGTCTATGACGGAAGAGCATAAATACAACATTAGCCTGCAATCCTAACTCAACACAGAATGACTTTTAAGGTCTAAAGGAGTTGCCTTCCACTCATATCAAATTTACAACAAACCTATTGCAGGGTGCTCTGAGGCTGAGAGAGTGTGGCTTGTTCCAATGGGTTTGGGGTGGAGATTCGAACCCTGCTCTCCAAAGGCATTTATTTATTTGTTTGTTTGTTTGCCGCTCTTCTCACCCCGAAGGGGACTCAGAGCAGCTTACAAGATATATATACATACAATCTATATAAATAAAAATGTAATGTTTGTTTGTGGGATTAACAGAACTCAAAAACCACTGGACGAATTGACACCAAATTTGGACACAAGACACCTAACAACTCAATGTATGTCCTTCACTCAAAAAAATTGATTTTGTCATTTGGGAGTTGTAGTTGCTGGGATTTATAGTTCACCTACAATCAAAACACATTCTGAACTCCACCAGCTTGGCACACATATACTGAGCCATGATCGAGGCTCTCTTCAATTTCACTATGGGACTATAGTGGGAGGGTAAGTGGGTATGTTTTCTGCACTATGATTTCTATATTTCTCCCTGTGTATCTGACTTTTGCCTGACCCTTCTGCCCTATTCCCTTTTATAAGAAATGCATAAAAATATAAGAAGCCACCCTTAGTGACCCTGGGAAAGAGGAAATCTCCTGTTTGAAAAGAATCTTATTAAGAGACATATTTGCATGGACAATACAATAAGCAGCGACCCTGGGGCTCGGAGTATGTCCCCCCAGAGGGAGATGCCCACTTGGCATAGATGATCACATCTCAACAGGACAAAGGGCCTTCAGAAAGTCACAATTTGTCCTGATCTGTTCTCTCAGTTATCTTCCATCCACCGAAACTACAACCAGGATTACCCCATTGTCTCCATATCTCAGTTCAAGAAAAATCTGGATTCTGGCCATCTTGCCAGACATCAACGTTGATTGCCACCCCTCAAGACAATAAACTGGATGGCTAGAAGGCCCCTGAGGACTCGCCAGCCACATATTTCCATAATCCACTCAAGAATTCATTGTTTCCCTCTCGTCCCACCTCCCTCTCTCCTGATTGGCCAGAAGTGGCTTGAGCTCACCCACTGGTTAAGGCGCCTCCCAGCTGTAGAGCACCAACCAATCAGACAGCTTTGTATATGTATAAAAAGGTTTTATTTTGTGTTCAATGAATGTCTGCTTGACGAATGATCACGGTATGACATCCTTTCCAGCTGGATCGCAATAAATATCTCTGTGGCTTCTGCTTCAACTTGGTGAGATTTATTTTGCAATATTGGCTTCTCTTTTCTCACCAGGCAACTCACAATGGCTTGGGCTTAATCCATAACCATTCTAAATTGCTCTTCAACGAAATTACCTGGTTAGCCATGGCACGGAAGTTGAACCTCAAGGGAACCCCTTTTGGCTGGTGAAGGGCCACCTTGGCGGCAGTGCTTCTCTCTCTTCGGAAAGGACGTTTCCCTCCTGGCCTATCATGTACAAAATGAGGAAATTGTCCCATTGAAGAAACACACATTGATTCCTTTTCTCCATATTTTCCTTCCCAGAGCTTGGAAGCATGGACTTCATCTTCCATTCTCTTCCTGAGAGTATGGCTAGTGGGAAGATTCTGGAAAACTGCAATCCTTATTACTACTATTATTACTATATCATCATCATCATCATCACCATCATCATCATCATCCTCTTCATCATCATCTCCATCAGCACCACCATCATCACCATCTTTATTTACATCCCACTTCTCTCTCTTAATGAAGATTTAAAGCAGCTCAGCACATTAACAGACAGCGCAATTCAAAATCGACAACATGCAAATATAGTTTTTACATTGATTTTTACATTGTCCTATCTTCCAGTGTTTTAAAATTTTTATTTTTAAATTTGGCCCTGCCCAGTGTGATCATTGTGTTTTAATGTTTGATTTTATGCTGCTGTGTCGCTTACTTATATTGGTTTTGCATTTATGTAATTTATTTTTCTGATTTTCTGTTGTGTTCTTGTGTTTATATTGTGTTTACTATATTGATGGGCGTGGCCTCATGTAGGCCGCCCTGAGTTCCTTTGGGGGGTATAAATAAAGTTTTATTATTATTATTATTATTATTATTATTATTATTATTATTATTATTATTGTTGTTGTTTATTGGCACAATTTTTAATGTTTTTCAAAGTAATGTTAATTGATATTTGCTTAATTTTGTATTAACATTTATATGTTTCTGGATTTTAAATGATACTGTTCTTTTTTTGAACACTATGAGCTATGTTGTGGGATAGAAATAATAATATTAATAATAATAATAATACAGAATTCAATGGTCGAATGACAACAACAACAACAACAACATAGAATTCAGAAGTGGGATAGAAATAATAATATTAATATATAATTTTACAGTGAGATAGAAGAAATAATAACAATAATATAGAATCCAACAGTGGGATTGGATTTTGGTCAGCAGTGCTGGCCGAACTGCTGACCAAAAGGTCGGCAGTTCAAATCCAGAGAGTGGGGTGAGCTCCCGTCTGTCAGCTCCAGCATCTCACGAGCGCAGGCATGAGAGAAGCCTCACACAGGATGGTATCCTTTGGGCAAAATCCTTGCAGATGGCCTGAAGTAACTTGCAGTTTTTCAAGTCGCTCCTGACACCAACACACACACACACACAAAGCTCTACATTAACTGCCTGGTTCAATGCTATGGAATCCTGGGAGTTGTAGCTTTACATAGTCTGCGAAAGAGTGGCAAGCTATACATCCCAGGATTCCACAGCATTTAGCCAGGGTAGTGAAAACAGTGCAAATCTTCATTTATTCTGCAGTGTAGATGCACGCTGAGTGACAGAAATGGCAAGATAAATACAACAATAATAATCTGGTTTGTGTGTGTGTGTGTGTGTCAGGAGCAACTTGAGAAACTGCAAGTCTCTTCTGGTGTGAGAAAATTGGCTGTCTGCAAGGACATTGCCCAAGGGACGCCAAATGTTTTGATGTTTTACTATCCTTGTGGGAGACTTCTCTCATGTCCCCTTATGGGGAGCTGGAGCTGACAGAGGGAGCTCATCTGCGCTCTCCCCGGATTCAAACCTACAACCTGTGGGTCTTCAGTCCTGCTGGCACAAGGGTTTAACCCATTGCGCCACCGGGGGCTCCAACAGTAATAGCTAAAACTACTGAAATAAAGGCTATATTCTGCTGCACTTACGCATTTGCTTGACTCGCTTGCGGATTGGACACAGACACGGTCAGGACTGCACCGGAATTGGATCGCATTTGCCACCTGCTGCAAGAACAGAGTTTTGCTTTTGTCAACTGATTTATATTTCTGGACCAGAAAGGGGTTTTTTCCTGTGCCACACTTCCCTTTACCTTCTGATCCTCGGTGGTTTTCCTTCTGCTTTTGGCTGCATTTGCTGCAATAAGAAAGGAGACACATGTCAATCTAAAAAAGCAAAATTCTGACGACTGATTCCTTAGAAGCTTCCATCAGTAAGTAAGATGAAAAAAGGGGGCAGACATTTATAATTTTTGGACTACAGATCCCCCAATTCCCAGCCAAGGGGGATTCTGGAAGTTTTAGTCTGGCTGCTTCCTGTCTGGGGGGAATCCTTTGTTGGGAGGTGTTAGGTGGCCCTGATTGTTTCAATAAAGTAGTCCAAAACTTCAATTTTCAGGTTTGGATGAAGTCAAAGCTTTCTAGATTGCTCTGAAAAAGATTTATCATAGGCTTTGGAAACTTCATGCTTTACAAGAGAAAAAACATGGCTGAAATGACCTGTTTCCTTTTAGAAGAAACTATAACAGGCCTGGAAAACTTTCTAACTTGGGGGCCGCATTGCTAGGGCAGGACTAGCTACCCAGTGATGGAAGGAAGGAAAGAGAGAAGGAAGGAAGGATGAAAGGGAGGACGGGAAGGACAGAAGGAGAAAAAGGGAGCCAGTGAAGGAGGGAGGAAAGAGGAAAAGAAGGAAAGATAAAAGGAAAGGAAGGAAAGAAAGGAAGGAAGGAAGGGAAGGAGGAAAGGAAGGAAAGAAAGGAAGGAAAGAAAGAAAGAAAGAAAAGAAAGGAAGGAAAGGAAGGAAGAAATGAAAGAAAAGAAAGGAAGGAATGAAAGGAAGGAAGGGAAGGAAGAAATGAAGGAAAGAAGAGAAAGGAAGGAAGGAAAGAAAGAAAAGAAAAGAAGGAAGGAAAGGAAGGAAGAAATGAAAGAAACGAGGAAAGAGTGGAATAGAAGAATGGAAGGAAAAAGAGAAGGGAGGAAGGAAGGGAGGGATAAAGGAAAGAGAAGAAAAGAAAGACAAAGGGAGGGGGAGGAAGGAGATATAGGGAGAGAGGGAAGGAAGGACAAAAGGATGGAATGTAAGAATGGAAGGAAAAAGTGAAGGAAGGAAGGGAGGAGAAGGATGGATGGAAGGGAAGGATAAAGGAAAGAGAAGGAAAGAAAGACAAAGGGGAAGGAAGGAAGGAAGGAAGGAAGGAAGGAAGGAAGGAAGGAAGGAAGGAAGGAAGGAGAGAGGGAAGGATGTAACCAAAGAGCAAAGAAAGGGAGGAAAGAAACAGAATGAATTTAAAAAATGAATAAGGTTTTTAAATTAATCAGACAGCCATATTAAAACATCATGTCCTGAGTTGCCCTTCACAAAACAGCCCTTAGACAATTTTGAAAGTAAAAGAAAAATGCTTTACTCCAGCAAACACAAAGGATTAGCAAATGCAATTGAAAAGTGCACAAGAAAACAAGACAGTCTTAATCCAGACACAAATTTAAGTCTCTTACAAAGTCACAAAAGAAACACCAGTCTTCCATCAGACAACGGAGGATGAACTAAGCAACAGACACAAAGCAGATTCCATAGAAGTGAAAACAACAGTATCAGGGTCGTTGTTACCAGCGAAAGCTGACTCCTCCTGCTACTGATTTATAGCCCTGACTTCCCCACGCAGGAGGTGCTAGGGTGTCTCCCAATTAGCTCAGCGTTTTTAGCAGCTATTCTGACTGAACGCCACCTGCGCTCTGTCTCTTTTCGTCTCTCTAGAAATGTGGGCACTTTCAAACCCTCATCGTCTGATTCTTCTTTTCCCTCCAATTCCTGAGCACTTCCTTGCTCTCCTTCCTCTTCTGAAGATGAGGAATCCCCAACACATCAGAACTTTATGCCAATATTACGTCATTGTAAAACATGACAGTAACAATGTATTGTCGAAGGCTTTCATGGCCGGAATCACTGGGTTGTTGTAGGTTTTTCCGGGCTATATGGCCATGTTCTAGAGGCATTCTCTCCTGACGTTTCACCTGCATCTATGGCAAGCATCCTCAGTGGTAGTGAGGTCTGTTGGAACTAGGAAAATGGGTTTATATATCTGTGGAATGACCAGGGTGGGGCAAGGACTCTTGTCTACTGGAGCTAGGTGTGACTGTTTCAACATTCACACAGGAGTCTACTGTATACCATGCAGCTATGGACAAGTCTATATAGGGACCACCAAACGTGGCATTTCACAAACACGAATCAAGGAACATGAAAGGCACTGCAGACTACTTCAACCAGAGAAGTCAGCCGTAGCAGAGCACCTGATGAACCAACCTGGACACAGCATATTATTTGAGAACACAGAAATGCTGGACCACTCTCACAACCACCATGTCAGACTACACAGAGAAGCCTCTGAAATCCACAAGCATGTGGACAATTTCAACAGAAAGGAGGAAACCATGAAAATGAACAAAATCTGGCTACCAGTATTTAAAAACTCTAAAGTTAGAATAGCAGAACAACAGAGAGGGAAAAAATAAGGACATCTAATCACCTCTCAACAAAAGATTGCCCTAGGCACTGCCAAGCCATCAAATGCTAATTAAGGTGGTCAGTTGAAACATTCACACCTAGCTCCAGCAGACAAGAGTCCTTGCCCCACCCTGGTCATTCCACAGATAAATAAACCCATTTTCCTACTTCCAACAGACCTCACTACCTCTGAGGATGCTTGCCATAGATGCAGGCGAAACGTCAGGAGAAAATGCCTCTAGAACATGGCCATATAGCCCAGAAAAACCTACAACAACCCAATGACAGTAACACTCAAAGTAAAACACACTTGCCCCATTGAAATGCCTTGCTGGGCGCCTGTTCAATTCAGTGGCAGAAGAGTGACTTCTGACTCAGAGTTGGATTCTATTCCAAGTAGGATTGGGATTAGGATTAAGGATATTTCTTGGATGGGAGACCACTAATGAATGCTGTAGGCAATTTTTTTGAGGAAGAAACGGGCAGAACCACCCCTCAGTATTCCTTGATGAAGAAAACCCTAGGAAATGTGTGGTGTCACTCTAAGTCGACAGGCAGCGTCAAGACTCGTGCGCATGTATTATATTGCTTTAGGGACTGCTGCTGTTTTAATATTTGGTGTGAAAGCCATCTCAAGAGACCTATAAAACCTTGTAATTTTGGATTTTTAATACCGGTTTTATTTGAAAATCCCCCACATGTAATGAATACAATAAAGGTATCCTTCTTCTGAATCCCAGCAGCTTCATCGCCCACAGCAGAGAGATTTTCTGGTCTCTCCCTGCGTGACCTCGGGACACCTAGCCACAGACTATGGGCTGATATTATGGGTAGCAAGAGTGCTGCAAACTTGGTGTGGCAGGGTCCCAACTTCCTGCTGAGATGTGATGCTATTCAAAGGTTCCAGTTCCATAACGTACCTTCCCCCAGCTGGCAAATCCCAGATGGGTCCCAATGGCAGGGCACATCAAAAAGGGAATGAGTGGCCATAACACAAGCCAACAAGTATTTTTCATCTAAGATTTTAGATCATTCTTATAGAGTCTTTTTTTGCGCAGAATTCAGATCTGTCTTTATTTTTTTCTCTGTTACATGTTGTTTTTGCAATGAGGCTAATCAATTAATGCATTTATGCACATATCAATAGAATTTAATTGATATCAGCACGTAAATGCATTAATTATTCAATTAGCCTAATCGCAAAAAGGGCACATGGTAGAGAAAAGACAAACACAGATCGGAATTCAGCGCAAAAGAATTCTATAAGAATGACACAAAATTATATCTGATGAAAATACTTGTCAGCTTGTGTTACATGAATATGGTGTGAAATGTGCAGACTTTACAGTAGTGCGCTGTAATGTACCATTTGTTATATTTTAAAAAGTTGACATGATGGGAAAAAATAAAGACATATTTAAAATCAGCATAAAATTGATTTAAACCAGTGTTTCTCAACCTGGGGGTCAAGACCCATGGGGGGTAGCCAGGGGGTGTCAGAGGGGTCACCAAAGACCATCGAAAAACACATTCATGGGGTTCTATGTGGGAAGTTTGGCTCAAGTCTATCATTGGTGAGGTTCAGAACGCTCTTAGATTATAGGTGAACTATAAATCCCAGCAACTAAAACTCCCAAGGTCTATTTTCCCCAAACTCAGGCAGTGTTCACCTTTGGGCATATTGAGTATTTATACCAAGTTGGTCCAGATCCATCACTGTTTAAGTCCACAGTGCTCTCTGGATGTAGATGAACTACAACTCCAAAACTCAAGGTCAGTGCCCACCAAACCCTTCTAGTATTTTCTGTTGGTCATGGGAGTTCCAAGTTTGGTTCAATTTCATCCTTGGTGGAGTTCAGAATGTTCTTTGATTGTAGTTGAACAATAAATCCCAGCAACCACAACTTCCAAATGACAAAACCAACCCCCTCCCAACCCCACCATTATTCAAATTTGGGCATATCGGGTATTTGTGCCAAATTTGGTCCAGTGAATGAAAATACATCCTGCATATTGGATTCATAAGAGTAGCAAAATTCCAGTTATGAAGTAGCAACAGAAATAATGTTATGGTTGGGGGTCACCACAACATGAAGATCAGTATTAAGGGGTCGCGGCATTAGGAAGGCTGAGAAACACTGATTTAAACAGTGCTACTCTCATTTCTCATTATTACAAAAAGTTTGATTTTCTTGGCTTGTGTAATTTTGGTTAACATTGGAATACAAAAGAGTATTGCAATTAGAATGGGATGGCTTTGGAAACATGCTCATCTTTGGTATGACGAAATAAAAGCAGATTTCAAGTTTTAACGATCACATAATTTGGAGATCACTATTGCAAGTGTAGATTGAGTAATAAGAACCGATGTTGTTCAGTGATGCCACTGTGGTATTCTCCCCATGAAGCTTTGTTTAGAGGAGAGATTTCTTTGGAAGGAAAATGATTGAATTACCAAGATTAATATTGGATAATGATCAATACAGGGAGGAGTTATGGTAATGGCAGGGGGAGCGTGTCCCAAAACAGTGGTTTGCCCAGAGGCATATCACGGCGTGCCCCTCCACCCCTGCTATCCTTTTCCCCTTCCCATAACAGGATTCACAAATCCGGCGCATCTTT